CAGAGAAAAAGAGGAAGACCCCCAATGAGATGGATTGGCCAAGTGGCAGCATCGATGGACTCAAGCATGGCAACAGTAATGAGGTTGGCCCAGGATCGGGCAGTGTTTCACTCTGCCGTGCATAAGGTCGCTGTGGGTTGGTATCAACTCAATGGCACCTAACAACTACAACTGTTTTCTATAACTGGAACCTCTTTAGCTCTTTCTTAGTCCTGATCTCCTTTTGTAATTACATATTTCATTATTCATTAATTTATTTTCTCTCTACTCAATGAAAATGTCATCTCCAATAGTTTTGTTGTGTTGTTGTTAAGTGCCATTGAGTCGGTTCTGATTCCTGGTGACCCTGTGTAGGGTTTCTGAGGAGCCACTTGATAGTTTGAAACACCAACCTTGCAGTTCAAATGACCTTTCTGTCCAGTGCTTATCCTACAGTGCCACACCAGGACTCTCCGAGACGTTAGGGGCCACCAATTTGCTTCCTCACTACATAATCCATATCCTAGAATTGTACATATATTGTACATCCTATTTCATCATTATTGTAGACTTTGACATATATTAGTGTTGTACTTTGAACAGCAATTCTAATGTTTTCTACTATGAAAAATTACAATAAATAGGTTTAGGGTAAAAGCAATTAAGTATATGGAAAATGGAACATTGTCAACAAATTTAAGATTCAAGTCATTTGATAATTTAGAACAAAAATATAAATGCTAATATTTAAATATCAACAATATGTTCCAGAAAAATATAACAAGACACACACATGCTTTGCTTCATTTGAATCAACACACATGTAGGAGTACTGACAAATACAAGCATGTCATGAACAATGGTTATATTGTTATCTATTGGTCTTTTCAAGTTCCAGGAGATAGTTCAATATTTTAATAATATTCCTTTATTAAGTTTTAAATTCTTACTGTAACTTCCAAAGAGATTACATAATAAGTTTTTAACTTAAATCTCTAAATTTGTCTAAAATATATGCAGTGTACAGTACATTAGTTGGTCAGATATCAGTTCTTCTCAAACTTTGTTGTAAAAAAGGGTTACCTTCCTGTTCTGTTTGAAAGAAAATCACCTGCCCAGGTTCTATCCCCAGGGATTTCATTCAGCAAATTTGCTGTGGGATCAAGCAATTATATTTTTAACAAGCTCCCCACGGGCTGACTCTTATTGCCTTAGCAGATACTGTTCAAACTTCTCTAAGCGATTTTAGGTACTATAAATATTTAACATGTAATCCTTAGTTCTTTACCAAGCTTGAGTTTTCTTTTCTCTGATGATCTGCAGATAAATAATGCCTATTAGTACTGAGTCTTCAAAATATTTGAATCTCTAGCTGGAGCAAAAGTGAGTGAAGAAAATCAAAGTTGCTTGGAAACAGTTGGCCCAAAGGAGGAAAAGACTACATGAACCTCCATGAGCCTCCATGAGCTTGAGACCAGAATTACTAGATGGTCCTGGGGTGGTTTAATGTGCCAGACTGCAAAGTCATTTGAACTGCAAGGTAGGCGGTTCAAGCTCACCGGCTGCTCCTCGGAAACGCTATATATACAGAGTCGCTATGGGTTGGAATCAACTTGACGGCACTTAACAACAACAACAATCCTGCTACCAACAACCACAACTCTGAAAGTAATTCTGGATAGAATGGTAGAAATATGTGGAACTGAACTCAAAATCATGAAAAAAGACCTGGCTCTCTGGTCTGAACTCACCCTCATCTTTATGGATCAATTTTCAGTGAAATATATAGGTCTATGAGGTAAACAGAAACAATGGGGAAGTAGGCACACCCTAAAATAATCAACAGTATTCATACAAGATCAAAAGGGTGGAATTTTCCCAGGAAGAAGGCTCAGAAAGAAAGAAAAAGGAAGCCTGGAAGTGGGAAAGAGGGTGTTACATTGTGGCGACTGCAATCAGTGCGACAAAATAAACTGTGTGAACAGTAGAGTGACAAACACGTTTGTTTTGTAAAATGTTACTCAAATCACAATAAAAAGTTAAATATATGTATCATGGCTTCATATGCAAACATTCACATTGTACTTTAAAGTCTAAAAAGTACAAAAGACTTCATGAATTTTAAGTGTGAATAAAGTACTCGGCCTTCTCCAGCCACATTCTTCCCCTTTTTAGTTTTTTGAACATATCAATCACCTTCCCCCCTCTAGTCCCTTGAACTTGACTATGTCCTCTGTTTATAAATCCAACCCCAGTTATAGATGACTGTCTGATTATCCATTCATCTAGTTCTACCTCATTTATTATCCCCTTGGAGAAATAGTTCATTATTTTAGTCATCTGTTTGTTTACTTGTAAGTAGAAGTTTCCCAATTTACACATAATTTTGTGTCTCATCAGAATGTAAGTTTCTCAAAAGTATGGATTTTGCTTTTCTGTTCTCATGTCTGTACCTCAACTGCATAGAAAGCCACCAAGCATAATGTAGGTATGAAAAATAAGTGTTACTTAATCAATATGTTTCTGTAAAAGAAATTTATTTATATTCATTTTTTTCTTTTTGTGATTTGACCGCACAACTCATAGAATAATCATCTTTGCCCGGTGATTTCCAGTAAATACTGACTAGTAACTGCAAGTTAATTCATGCTATCTGATTTTTTTATGTTAAAAAATGAAAAACTGGAGAGGTTTGGAAACTTGTCGACTCAAAAAACATCTACAATTAGTTTGAGATTAAATTCCAGTACTCACAGTGTATCTCTTTGTCCACTATTTGTTTCTCTCCCCAGACTATTAAGTCGTGTACTACACATCTTATAAGGAGCTCTGGTAGCATAGTGGTTACAAGTCGGACTGCCAACCTCAAGGTCAGCAGTTTGAAACTACCAGCAGTTCTGCGGGAGAAAGATGAGGTGGTCTGCTCCCATAAAGATTTACAGACTCAGAAACCCTGTGCAGGGTCACTAGGAGTCGGAACCAACTCCACAGTGCTTAACAACAACAACAACACATCTTACACTAATTAGATTTCCTAAAATCATATGGAGGTTGTGATGCAGTAAAGAAATGGTCATTTGAGGAAGGATACACTGGGTTTCTGCTTTTTAAACTGTTTGCTGTTCTTTTAGATGTTTTACCTCCTCCCCATCGCAGGCATCTTGCTAGATCATTTCCAGTCCCAAGTGGTAAAATAGCAACTGGAGGATGTTTCACGACATTGGCCTTTTCTGTGGAATAAAAAAATTAAATTAAAATTTTAAACACAGGTAGAACAACAGAAGAGGAACAAACAAACAAACCCCAAAAGCTAGAATTAAATAAAACAATTCTGTTACTTATAAGCAAAATGTTATATTATACATATGATTATGAATTATGATCAATATATTTGTAGAAACTTCTAAAAACACAAATACTATAATTTACAAAGTGATAGAGAATTTCAAGACTCATGTGTGACAAAAGCCTTAGAAATAACTTAGCCAAAAACCATCCATAGCGCATTTACTTAGCTTCAGTTATAACCCATAGGGATGAAGCCTAAACTATATATACAGAGATGTTATCAGAGTAGAGAGTAAGTTCCTATGTACATTATTTTTGCTATATCAACTCTAGGTACATTTTAAAGAATAAAATATTTTTAATACAGTTTAATCCACTGAAATTACAATGCTCTTGTCTGAACCATCACGTCTTTAATGAATCTCATAAACATGTATTACATTGTTTTTCTTTGCTTTTTCCCCTTCCTCAGTACCTTAACATCAGTATTCATATGTGTGTAAGGAAGGAGAAAAGAAATGATCATTTCAGGGGATGTCACAGTATAACAGACAAGATTTTTATTTTGAAGGCTAAAATAAGGTACAAACCTACTATTTCATCCTAATATCTTCAAAATCTTCAGAAACTTTTCAGCCGACTCTTAATTTGTAAAATTATTGAATTTTAGTTTTTCCATTTAGATATATTGTTTAAATCTTTTGTTGAAAGGCATACAAATGCATTTAATTGCTTTAAAACATTTAAGTGGATTTAAGTTCCTAGATACTTGCCAAAAGTACTCTTATACATGTAATGAATTGCAGTTTAAATTTTTCTGAGTATATAAAAAAGGGTATTTTCAAATGCTTCATTGAAGTTTATTTCTATCAAACATATATAATGTTTGTATATATCAGAACTCTCCTTTTGAGTACATTCATTGCTTTCTGTGAAAGATCCTGATTCTAATAAAGGATTTAGTAAAATAGTAAATGTTCATTTTGGTTATCTCTGCGTTTGGGCCACCCACAATCTGTTTTTCCAATTATTACTCAGTTCTGAATTTTCTCTGAAATCCAAGCTGCTTTTCTGATTTATTAAGGTGTTGTGTGTTTGTGTGCATGAGAGAGAAAGATAAGCCTATATTTTGCTTAGGAGTCCTGGTGTGGTGCTGTGGCTTAATGTGCTGGACTGCAAAGTTGTGTTGAACAGCAAGGTCAGCGGTTCAAGCTTACCAGATGCTTCTCGGAAACCCTATACAGTGTTGCTATGGGTTGGAACTGACTCAATGATACTTAACAACAACAATATTTTGACTACAGTTATGTACCTGTTGTGTTTGCTTGTAAAACTGAGCTTTGTATGTTTAAATACACTTTTCAAGAGCTCTATATATGGATTACATCTCAGTGTAAAGAAAACAAAAATCCTCACCATTGGATCAATAAGCAATAATCTTATCAATGGGGAAAAGTGTGAAGTTGTCAAGGACTTCATTCTTCTTGGATCAACCATCAACACTCAAGGGAGCAGTAGTCAAAAAATCAATCCCATGTAAACTATCATATAATTCACAATAAAACATTAAAAAACAAAAAAAAAGGTAGAAACATCCTAAATGTTCATCAGCAGATGAATGAGTACACAAAATCGTCTATACATACCAATAAAACAAAAACAAAACAAAACAAACAACAAAAGAAATCAAATAACTGTATTGCATTCAGCAAATCTGCTGCACAAGAACTTTTTAAAGTGTTGAAGAGCAAAGAGGTCAGCTTGAGGACTAAGGTAAGCCTGACCCAAGCCATGGTATTTTCAATAACCTCATATGCATGCGAAAGCTGGACAGTGAATAAGGAAGACCGTAGAAGAATTGATGCTTTTGAGTTATG